GGACCTGGGGTCACTGGAGGGCCAAAGATTTTCCTTGCAAGAGAAAAGGGGTGACTGCAGGGTCCTCTGTTGGGGAGTCTTTCTGGGGGGAGCGGGCCTCATGGGGGGAGGCGATCACAAAGGGGCAGAACCACAAAGCCGCGGAGAGCCCCCCCAACAAAATGGGGGTGGAGAGAGCGGCACCCCTGAAACCTCACTGAACCCACTGCAGTCCTGTCAAAGGCATCCAAAGAAGCACCTCTTAGCACCTCCAGGGGAAGTGGGGGGCCGGCTGGGGCCGCCCAGTTCCTGCTGTGGCCTAGTAACACCCCACCCCACCCCACCCCCTGCGCGGAAGCTCCCTGGAGCTCTTTCCCACCACTGTCTCCGGGGAGCCCCGAGCCCTGCTGCGCCCAGTTTACAGATGGGGAAATAAAACACTGGAGACGGCGCTCAGCCCGGAGGGGCTGGCCCGCCTGCAGAGGCGGCCCCACGCCCTGCCCCGCGGCTCTCAGTACCTGGTGCCCCAAAGGTGGGTGCCGGCTGTGCCGGGCACAGTGTCTTGGCCAGGGTGACCACACGCCTCAGTTTAGGTTTTATAGACAAGGCGGCCGGAGGCGGAGAGATGGCTGGAGGGACGGCCGCTGCCTCTCCCTGGTCCCACAGTATCCCCCGCCTGGGGGGTGTGGGGATCCCCAGGACCCTCCCAGCGGACTGGATGTGGCTGCCGGGTGCAGGATGCTGCCCCTGATGAGGGGCTCTGGGAGACACAGGCCCCCAGCTTCTGACACACCCGCCCCCTTAGGGGCTCTGCCGGCCTGTAGGAGCCTGGGAATAAGTCCAGGGGGGCTTACTCACCTGGCGGTCGGGCCAGCCCCTCGCTCCCCGTGCCGGACCGGAGGCAGGCCGGCCTGTTGCTTCGCGGCTGGATCACTCTCTCGGACCCCCGAAGCCTGCTCTCCCAGGGCACCTCCCTGTGGGGCTTCAGAGGTCAGACCCCCCAAGGGGACCCGTATTTCAAACGGGGAGGGGTGGTTCTGGGAGGAAGAAACGCACCGGCCAGAACAGACGTGCCCAGGGCCAGGTGCAAAGGTCCCTCAGCACTGGCGGCCCCCGGCCGCGGGGAGCCCACCCCACCTCCATCGCCGAGCTCTGGACCCCCGGAGGCCACACCTCCCGCCACTCCCCGGCAGAGGCCGTCGCCTGGCCCTCCCGCGGGTTACAGGAGAAATGGGGGCGGTTGGTGGTGACCAGGCTTCCCCAGGGCAGAGCCAGCAGCGCCCCGAGGGTGCACGCGTTCTGAGCAGCAATTCCCAGGTAAGCTGAGCCCAAGGGCAGGGACACACGGTGGGAGCAGGCGCTTCCCTAGAGCTCTGCCCCCCACAGAGGGCCCAGGGCAGGCACGGCCATCCTCTGGCCCCTTCTGCTGCTCCCCTCACACCCCTCATTCTCACAGTAGGATACAACCTGGAAACACCCTCAAACACAGCCGGGCCCTTCACCCCAGCAGGGGGTGCCGGGACTGGGCCTGCCCCCCTCAACCCCGCGCAGAGTAGCCCGCGCCGTACGCAGGACCCGGCCCTGTCCCGCCCCCAGATGCGTGCACTCGTGACCCCGGGCCACCCCAGATGGCTGCTGTGGCAGACACTGGCCCGCCACACTCCTTCGGGGGGCTGCACCCCAGGGTCTGCCTCCCAGGGAGCTCCTCCCGCCCCCCACTGGACACTGACCATCGGCACCCCTCCCCAAGCACCTGCCGCTGAGCTCCCCAGGTCAGCGTGCCTTGGTGCTTACCCCGGGGCTTGCGCCGGCCGTCAACACTGAATGGCTCGATGCCACTGTGCCCTGAGCCAGCCGGCCAGTGTGCTCACCCATCTGGGCAGGGACGGTGAGGGCAAAGCTCTGCCGGGCGGCCCTACCCTCTCTAGCAGAGACCCACCTGGAGAGGTGGGCCCTGGGTGCAAGGGCTCCCCGCTGGGTCCTTTCCTGGAAACTCGGGCCAAAATGTGACCTAAATTCAGCCCTGCAGCTCCCCGAGGCCCAGGTACCCCTGGTGCAGCACAGGCGGGGTGGTACCGGCAGGGTGGTAGGGGGGGTGGTACGGGGGGGTGGTGCAGGCACACCTCGCCTTCCTGCATTGCCTTCCGCCCATCCTGTGTCTCTCCAGACCCTCCACTAGCAAAAGGA